CGGGCGGCGGCGGCGCGACGTTCCCCGCGCTCCGCCGCCGCCTTAGCATGTGGCTCAAGTTCAAGCTCCCGCCGCCTCCCCCGGTATGCCCGCCCGCCCCCGCGCCCGTCCCCGCCGCGCCGCCCTGCCCCTGCGTCCCCGCCCCCGCCACCGCGCCCCTCCTCCTCGCCGACCCCCCGTTATTCGCATTACTGCCCACCCCGGAATTGGGGTTGCCCGTGACGGGATTCGGCGACGGCGGGCCGCCGAACGCGCTCCCGCCGATCGCGAAGCCAAAGTGCGGCGGCGAGGGCGAGAGCTCGCGCAGACCGTCTGGGGGTGCGCCGCCGATGGCGAGCGGGGGCACGTGGATGTGCGACTGCGAGCTGTTGCGCGGGCGCCCGCGGGAGAGGAAGGACCCGAGGATCGTCGTGCTGCGCGGGGGCGGGGGCGAGTCCGCACCGCCGCCGCCGCCGCCGCCGGCGTTGGTGAGTTGGGCGTGGGCGTGGGCGTGGGCTTGTGCGCCGTCCATCGTTCGTCCGTTCGTTCGTTTGCTTCTTCTACAGGTGCTGTACTATTGCTGTTCTTCTTCTAGTTCTTCTTCGAGATTGAGGAGTCTGGAGATAGTGTGGCTGGCGAGGAGGGGAGTGGCAAAGATGGTGGCTTCGACGACGAGGACGAGGAGGAAGACACAGTAACACCCAGTGAATCTCTGAATATCTACAGCAGCAGCAGCACGGAGACCGAGACCGACGAGCAAGAGGCAGCGGGCGGAGCACTGCAGAGGCAACGTCACGTGCTCACTCCCATATAAAGGTCTTTCTCGAATTGAGACTCTCAGTTCTAGCTGTCAACCTGGCTGCCCAAGTATCCTTTGCTCCATTCCGTCCTCTTTCCCTTGAATTATCCTTTTCTCAATTATCTTTTTCCCTTTTGCAACCTCCGAGGACCATGGGATCGTAGCCCCACTGTCGGCTCCAAGGTAGATCCCCACTACGGCCGCTGACGCCGATGCGGTGTGGCCTCGAGTCCGCGGCTGACCCCTGGACCTTAAGTAGACTGATACACATCTTTCGAAATCAACACGATGCATGCTGCATGCCATTGCCGTGGATCGTTGGATGGATGGATGGATGGATGGCATCGGTGCCAATATAATCGTTTTGCTTCTGCTGCTGTAACCTTTCCTTGGCTTCTTCCAAACCTCTAAATGCAAAACCCGTAAATCAATCGAGCAGGAGTCGCGAGGAAAAAATAAAAAAGCAATCATTGACACCTAACGGGGATGCGGGCGCTGGGAGTCGAACCCACTCAATGCGCTGCTTCCATATTATAACCGGCATTCCCTGGTCACTCAATACAGCTGTGTACCATACACCACGCCCGCTTATCCCTCCCTTTCAAAAGCTTCTTAGGTTCCCCACTTGCGGAGTAGGAGCAGCCCACATCAATCAACGGTATTTACCGCAAATCAAAATCAATCAAGTCTCCTTCAAGTTCAACTGTCCGATCAGCTTGGCATTCTATTTCTTTCCAATACACAATGAATGATCCCAGAAAGAAAGAAAGAAAGGAAATCCACTCCCCAAAATTTACAAAAAAAAAAAAATGCAATCAACCGAGATATGTATGCGGGCGCCCGGAGTCGAACCCAGATCTGCTGGCTGCTTGCAAAGTCCTAACCTCAGACCTCAATGCAGCTATGTATTGTAAACCATACCCGCTTCCTTCCTGTTGTTCAAAACCTTCTTAGGCTCCCCATCTTCGGAGTGGGAGCAGCGTTCATGCCAATCAACGGTGTTTACCACAGATCAACATCAATCACCAATCAGCTTGGCATGCATCCATATTCTTTACTATTTTTCTTTCCAATATGCCGTACTGAATCATGTCAGAAGAAGAAGAAAAAAAACCACCCTCTAAAAAAAAATTGGAATCAATCGGGATATGCGGGTGCCAGGAGTCGAACCCAGTCTGCTGCTGGTAATGCGTGGAAATGGATACTCAATGCAACTGTGTACCGTACACCATGCCCACTTACCCCTCCCCTTCAAAAGCTTCTTAGGTTCCCCATTTTCGGAGTGGGTGCAGCATTCACGAAAAATGGTGTTTACCACAAACTTTCAGATCTCCTTCAACTGTAACTGTCTCGACCCCCAATCAGCTTGGCACACAATGATACATATTTTCTCTTTCTTTCCAATACGCACTGAATTAACCCAGAAGAAGAAAAATTCACCCTCCAAAATTTGCAAAAAAAAAAAAGATTGACCATTCATGTATATACAGGCGCCGGGAGTCAAACCCAGGTCTGCTGGCTGTAAACTCGTAACAGCACCGCAAAACTCGATGCAACTGTATTCCGTACACCACGCCCGCTTCCTTCCTGCTGTACAAAAGCTTCTTAAGTCCCACTTCCTGACTATTACTACAGCAGCAGTCAATGTAAGTCTCAACATCCTCAACTGGCAACCAGATTTTACAATATACAGTAGTCAGCAATCAGAAAACCCAGCCTGAGTGAGAGAAAAAAAAAAAATTCCAAACTACGTTGTCATAAGGGCACCAGGAATCGAACCCATTCTGCAACATGCCAATCAGTATCAGACACATGGTAGTCATACACCATGCCCGCTTTTCCCGCTCTTTAGGTTGCCCACTTTTGGACCATCCCTCGATGGGAGCAGCCCTCACGTCAGTCAACGTGTTTGTGTTTACCGCAGATCAAAATCAATCAACTGTAACTGTCTCGACCCCTTGGCATACATTCCTTCTTCATAATGATCCCAGAAAGAAAAGAAATTCGCTCCCCAAAATAAAAACAGTGGTTGAACAATCATGTGGGTGCCAGGAGTCGAACCCAGTCTCTTGCTGCTTGCACTTCCGAACTATGAAACTCATCACAGCTGTGCTCCGTACATCATGCCCGCTTCCTTCCCACTGTTCAAAACCTTCTTAGGCTCCCCACTTTCGGAGTGGGATCCAGCAACCTCCATGTCAATCAACCGACGGTGTTTACAGCAGATCAAAATCAATCAACTGCAACTGTCTCAATCCCGGATCAGCTTGGCATACCGACATATTCTAGATCTTTATTCTCTTTCTTCCCGATATACTTATGTGCCAGTGCACAATGAGGCCAGAAAGAAAGAAAGAAAAGAATCCACTCAATCTGATAATGTGAGCGCCGGGAGTCGAACCCACTCTGCTGCTTGCACTGCTGCACCGTGGACAACTCAACGCAGCTGTGTACCACACACCACACCCACTTATCCTTCCCTCGAGGTCCCCCACTTATATCAGCTTATATCCCACCTGCAGGAAGCAGCCTTCATCGATTAAATCAACGCAAATCAAAATCATTGTCAATCAACTCTCCGATCAGCTTGGCACTTATAACTTACTAGCTGCAACCCGTGCTACGCACGGTTATCTGCATCCGGAAGTCTATACAGTCAGATGAAATCAGATTCCGTACCATAAGAAATCTGAGGTCTTGGAACTGTGACCGGGACACTCGTCACCAACCTATGGTTGGTTCCTCGTGTCCCGATAGACCTTGATATACAGGCAAGCCTGAATATGCCAAGCTCTCAGCCCTTGTAATCGTGTCAGCCGCCCTGAATTATTTACACCCACTTAAGACAGTGCCCTCGTAATACCAGCCCTTGTGTTACATATTATCTGCCCTCATACACTGACCGGGAGTCAGCCCATCCCTGAGATCTGGAATGGCAAATTAAAATTACAGTATGTCTTCCTTCACTGAACTACGCTTAAGCTTGTACCGTTAATATTGTCCTCTCTAACAATAAATTTAACTACCTGTTCGGTCTTCTAAATTTCTTTGATGTAGTCACTTCTGCCCTCGTACATAAATTGACCCACTATACCGGTGCCTTGGCTAGTCTCTACATACTTGAAAGCCCCATTTTGAATACAAAAAACTGCGAGAGCTTTTCAGCTTGTTCCCTTTCAATTTTGAATTTATTCAGTCTGCCATGCAGTGTCGTCATATCTTCAAGCATGCTAGCCCTCGTGAAAATTTGGTCTGCCCAGGAACTCACTCCAGGAATCATTAACCTAAAGAATGAAGCTTAAGAAGCAGAGAGCGAACGCTATATGACCGAAAACCTTGTAAGTTGAAAGCCGGCCGGAAGAAGCCGTTGTTTGTCCGCGCGTGCCCAAAGCCTACGGATAACCTGATTGGCCAGTAGACCTTTCACGTGACCCTTGTCTTTTGTATAATAAGATTTTTCTTTCCAATACTATGCCGCATTGAATGTTGCCAGAAAGAAAGAAAATCCACTCCCCAAAATTTACAAAATAATAATAATTGAGATTTATCCAGGTAATGCAGGCGCCGGGAGTCGAACCCAGTCTCCTGCTGCTTGCAAAGTCCTAACCTCAGACCTGAATGCAGCTGTGTACCATACACCACACCTGCTTCCTTCATGTTGTTCAAAACCTTCTTAGGCTCCCCACTTTCGGAGTGGGATCCAGCAACCTCCACATCAACTGACGGTGTTGACTGCAGATTAACATCAATCAACTATCTCACCCTCAATCAGCTTGCCATCCATCCATCCACATTCTCTTTCTTTCCAATATGCACTGAATGACCCCAGAAGAAGAAAAACCACCCCGCAAAGTTTGCAAACAAAAATAAAAATAAAAATAAAAATAAGAAATCGATCGAGAAGATGCGGGTGCTGGGAGTCGAACCCAGGTCTGCAAGTCTTGCAGTGCTCAACTCAATGCAGCTGTGTAACCACACCCACTTCCTTTCTGCTGCTAAAAACCTTCTTAGGCTCCCCCCTTTCAGAGTGGCCTCCAATGAACCAACAGTATTGACCACAGATTAACATCAATCAAGCGGTCCTTCAACTTCAACTGTCCGATCAGTTACCGATCAGCTTGCCATGCATATCTATCTATTATTTTCCAATATGTGCACACAGACTCCAGAAGAAGAAAAAATCCACTCCTCGAAATAAAATAAAACAGTGGCTCAATAATCATGCAGGTGCTGGGAGTCGAACCCAGTCTGCTGCTGCTTGCAAAGTCCTAACCTCAGAATTTACTGCAGCTGTGTACCATACACCACACCCACTTCCTTCCCTCTGTTCAAAAGCATCTTAAGACCTAGTAGGTCGCACTCTGAGTAACTGAATTGAAATAGCAAGCATGTTACATCCTCATCATAGTCAATTCGGGCTCTCAATTCGCGCAACCATAACCTGCCGTGAGATGATATTCAACCTAGTACCTGATATTCTAAAAAAAATCACTTGACGTAAAGCAACATGTGGGCACTGGGAGTCGAACCCAGTCTGCTACATACTTGCGAAGTCATTTCTTTATAACTCAATGCAGCTGTGTTCCATACACCACACCTGCTTACTGTACTATTTCGACCGGATGTTCAGTGACGGGTGACAGAGGCTCGTGAACTGAACTTATTTGGGACCGGTGACGGTGACAACCAATTTTTTGCACCTAAATAAGCCAAAAAATGCGAAAATTTCCGCTCCGGCATTCGCTGGATTACCATTTATGGGAATTTTCCCATGATTGCCGAGGTTTGAACATCGAACAAAATGAGGACCGGTGATTATGCCTTTCGAGGTAGGATACTGAAAATCGCCTGTTTGGAGCTTTTGTCCGGACTAATTTTATTTTCCCACACTTTCTGAGACTGCAGAAATCAATTTTTCGGTGAAGCGGTCACTTTTGTGTTTTTTTGGTTGAGAATTTTCCGAAATCTTGTCCGGATTCCAGTATCCTACCTCAAAAGGCATAATCACCGGTCCTACAAAATGAACATGTTAGGTGACGGGTGACATGGCGTGAACATACGGTAGAAATAGTACAGTATCTCTCCCTTTAGGTTCCCCACTTTCACACCATGCCTACATAGAAGCAGCTTTCACAAAAATTGATCAACGGTGTTTACGCAGATCAAGATCAATCAAGTCTGTCCCATCAGCTTGGCAACATATGTGTTTTCTTTCCAATAACAATTATGGCGCGCTTTGCGGCAGAGCCCACTAACTTGGGTTTGTCAATTATACACTGTTCCAAAACCAACCGGCATATACAGGCAAAGGGAAAGTAAGTAAACATACAGAAAAATCGAAGAGGCCACTGAGTTGATCTGAACATCGGCGGAAACAAGTGTTAAATTTTAATGGACTCGGATGGGGGGGGGGGGGGGGGTCATTGTCAGCTTTGAAGCAACTGCCAGAAGAATTATATATCTAGAGCTCCCACCGCTGGCAGTGCCAAACGATCAATATCTGCCATGATGCAGGGCACCAATCAAGGGAGAGATGGAGCCATTCAATGGCTGGTTAATTGCAAGTATTGGTGGACTTTCCAATTGGCCTCTACTCAGCCTGTAAAAGCCCTGACTTAAATATAAATTGTTCACAGTAATCCAACTGAAATTAGAGTGTATTAGCACTCAAAAAATTCAGATTTCCTGAGGCTCTGATTGGCTTGGAGCTGTGGAGCAGCCAATCACATTGCAGAATCTCTTCATTTTAAACGAAAGCTGATACACTCTATTATGTGATCCCCAGAAGCATCAATTGGGCCCCATTCTCGCTCGGTCGACATGTCGACCAGCTCGCATAGGGCCCAAGAACCTGCCAAAGGTGGGCACAGAAAACTGAGTTGTATCTGCACAATGCTCTTTGAGCAAAATAATGGTTGAGTCTTTCTGCAATGACAGGACATGAAGAAAATTGATGGTAAAAGCTAGGTACATTGAAGAGGTGAGAATTTTGAGGAGGAAATTTGAGTTTTAATCGACATCGGCCGAAACATCGGCCAAGAACACTGGTCAAGCCGAATATACGTAAATGGAAACATCGGGTGGAACCGGAGAAAAATGGCAGGTACATCAAAGGATCAATCAAAAAGGACTGATTTCATCAAAAAGAGATCATTACTGCCAAAATTTTTTGATAGGGCGCTACAGGACCCACTACCTAAAGTTAGTGGGCATACGCCCTGAATGATCCCAGAAGAAGAAGAAAAACCCACCCTCCAAAATTTGCAAAAGAAAAAAAAATTACATAAATCAATCTGTTAATGCGGGCACTGGGAGTCAAACCCAGGTCTGCTGCTTTAATTGTATCAACATTACTTACATCAAGCAGCTGTGTACCATACACCACACCCACTTCCTTCGTGCTGTTCAAAAGCCTCTTAAGTGCCACTTCCTGACTATTACTACAGCAGCAGTCAATGTAAGTCTCAACATCCTCGACTGGCAACCAGATTTTGCAATATATATGTAGTCAGCAATCAGAAAATCCAGCCTGAGAGAGAGAAAAAAAAGAAAAAAAAACTCCAAACTAAGTACGTTGTCATAAGGCACCGGGAATCGAACCCATTCTGCAACATGCCATCAGTATTATGTAGACACATTGTAGTCATACACCATGCCCGCTTTTCCGGCTCGTTAAGTTGCCCGCTTTTGGACCATCCCTCCATGGGAGCAACCCTCACGTCAGTCAACTGTGTTCAAGTTTGCTGCAAATCAAATCAATCAACTGTATTGAACTGTCTCGACCCCTTGGCATACATTCCTTCTTCATAATGATCCCAGAAAGAAAAGAAAATTCGCTCCCTAAAATGAGAAAAACAACAACTTGTGGAACTATGTGGGTGCCGGGAGTCGAACCTAAGTCTACTGGCTGCAAAGTTATGACCTTAGAACTCAATGCCACTGTGTACCATACACCACACCCACTTATCTCTCCCTTTAGATTCCCCACTTCTATACCACCTGCATGGAAGCAGCTTTCACGTTAATCGTCAATCAACTTCAATTGTAGATCAAAATCAACCAACTGTGCTGCAATCAGGTTGGCATCCACATTTTCTCTTTCTTTTCCAATATGTACACAATGATCCCAGAAAGAAGAAGAAAAACTACTCCCCAAAATGAGAAAAACAACGGCTGTCTCCTTATGTGGGTGCTGGGAGTCGAACCCAGTCTCCTGCTGCTTGCAAAGTTCTAACCTCAGAACTTAATGCAGCTGTGTACCCTACACCACACCCACTTATCCCTCCCCTTCCAAAGCATCCTTAGTAGGTGGCACACTGAATTGGAACTGAATTGGAACAGCAAGCATGTTGTATCCAATCCTGAGCGACTGGACATATACACGTATCAGGTCCATACCTATGTATATCGATAAACTGTTGAATCCAACAAACTTTTAGTAGCCCAAGGAGACATACTTAGAGAGAAGATCGGGAGCTTCGATAGGAAAGATTGCGAGGAAATCAAAATAATAGTACTATGTAAAACAGGTAGAATCACAATTAGGTAGGAAGGTATATTTCGGTGCGGTCCCGTTAAGAAACAACCGGGGTCCGTACTACATACATTGTGTCAGGTGTGGATGAATGCCGACACCAGTGGAGATCACAAAGCAATTAAAACGAGAACAACAACAGGTAGAATTGCAACGAACATACATATAAACATAGAGTAGTACAGATCTGTATATTCTTTGGCAATTTTTCAGTCAGTCCGGCGGCTCCAGGTTACTTTGTCGCAGAATCAAAAGCGCTGCCGATGATACCATATTATACAGCGCCAGCGCGCCGACCCACGCCCCCAACCGCGCCCACAAGCTGCCCCACCTCACCCTCACCCTCCAGAATCGTCTCGGGCTGCGCGTGAGGGTGTGGGTGCGAGTAAGGATGCATGCAATTTCATAGCCCCGCGATCCCGCCGCCACCGCGTTCCTTGCGGCGTTCTCCGACGTATGTTCACGGCTGCGGGACTTAGTCCCCGCACCGCCGGTGGACTCGACGGCGCCGGGGTGGTGCACGGGCCGGTTGACGGGCAGTGTGGGCGATGCGGTGAGGTTCGCGAGGCTGCCGCGGTCTGTGGAGGTGTTAATATGGGTATGGAATACGATGGGAGCAAAAAAAAAACACTCACATTCTGAATGGCGGGCGCGCTCGTACGGGGGCCGGGCCGGGGATTATATTCCCCGCGCCCGGCGCACCGCCCCGGGCCCCCGTGGACCTCCGCCTGCGGAGTTGGGCTCGTGCGGGACAGCCTCGACGGCGGCGACGTCGGTCCTCGCGACTATCATATTGCCCGCTCCGCCGCGCCCCGTCGAGAACACCGCCTCGTGAGCGCGGATGTGCTCGAGTTTGCCGAGGGGAAGCAGAAGTTCCCCGCGCCACCCCGTCCCGTTAAGCGCACCCCACTGCCGACTTTCGTCTGCGTGTGCTCGGGCCCGTCACCGAGTCGGTCTCACTGGCAGGACTCGGAGGAGTGTCGTGTGTCGCCCAGTCCACCGCGACCGTCAAGAACTCGTCGCCGCCCCTGCGTGCATCTTGTCTGTAGGTTGTACTGCGCGCGCACAGCGGGGAGGGTGCGGCGACGCGCGGACAGCGGTGAGTTGCGGGGTGTCGGCATCGTGCGTCGTGATCATGATGGGTCTGAAAGTTGTTCCGGAACGACCCGTTTGATCCGTCACTGCTCCGAACCGTCGTCCCCTTTCCTCCGTTCTGTCCGGGTTACATGCCAGACACTCTATATCCCTTCGGTGTGGATCGACGTAAAGTTACCAGATGAGCTCTCGGCGCGTCGTTCACTGCCCTCCACGCGGTAATGGAGAAACGAAGACAGGTTCTCCATGACGATGCTCTGCGACATCATCCATCCTCGTCTTTAACGCCGGGATACCATGTCCTGGGCACGATCATCGCAACAGCTCTTCGAAACATACATCCCGAGGGAAATAATATCTACACATACACAGCCTCCATCGCATTATAAAAATTGCGCTGAATTCTGCCCAGTCGACGGGCCCCCGATGGGCGGCTTTCGCTTCCTCTCGCGGGGGAAGCCCAAACTCCCTCCTATAAAACCAAAACCGCCCCATCCTCGCACCCCATGCGCTTTCCCCGATGCGCTCCGTACCGCCCTGTTCGCACTCAAAGAATCAGCCGCCGCCTTTCCGCCGCTGGAGAGCGCCGTCGGCGGCGTCATCGCACTCTGCAATATTGCCGAGGTCAGCCTCCGGACCTTGCTTTGGAAAACTGCTGTTGCCGATACTTGGATAATGTGCAGCG